AGAATGATGAAACTGATGAAATTATAAGTATTTTAGGTAGAAATCCAAGCAGAACTGATGATAGAAGGTAAGCAAAAATTTACCAGAATGTTAAAACTTCAATTTCTGAACAATTATGAGGGGTCTCGTCTGTAAACAATACACTTAGATTTTTTTTGTCCATTCCAAAGCAAAGGTTTATATTTGCTAAGAAACTAACATCATTTGAAATTATAAATCTCAGGGTATGGTTTCTCAAGTTATTTTCTTTCTTTCTCTGATTTTATTAGTACAGCATTTCATTCACACCCTTTTTATGACCTCACAGCATCTGATCTGAAAATTTCTAATAAAAATCTGCTTTGAAAATAGCCACAGATAAAGGTTAAATATTATTGGCTAGAGCAGGTTATAAACTATTCATGTCAACAAAGAAATTAGCTCCTTAAAATGTTTTTGTGTTAAATTGTATTTCTTTGAAAGTTATGGAAATTTTCTTCTATGACATACATTAGGTAAGCCTAATTAGGTTTAGACACTTTGGTAGGTGACAACAAAATATTCCATTGACTCAAATCCTTATTCATTGAATATTATTCTTAATTTTACCCAATCAAATGATGTAGATAAGGAAAAGAACTTATTATTTGTTGAAAATAAACAACATTTATTGGATACAAATTGATCTTGACCAAGAATATTGTTACCTGGTCTGACAGGACTCATTGTGACTGATAAATCTTTGTCACTTTTCACTGTGGTTTTTATGATTTATAATCAGAAGCAGTGACTACTACAATCAGCAAGATAAAATAATAAGATATCAATAGAAATGTGTTAATGAATATTGATCAAGCTTAAAATGATTGCATAATATAAAATGAAACTTTCTGATCAAAAATAAAGAAAAATTTAAATTCTAAGATGAAAATAATAATTTTTAATGTTAATTAAAAACAGTGTCTCTCAACAAAATTTTGGAAATGCACAACATAAAGAATGATAAAAAAACTGTAAATGAGATTGTATGATTTTTTCTTAAGCCAAAACTCAACAGTATTTAGTAAGTTTTTACAGTTTCATACAATTTAGTTAAGTATTTCCACTGTGAGAAGGAACAGAAACAAGGAATATAAATTTACATTTTCAACCCCTTGGATTTGTGAAGAGGTAATTGACAGAAAGCAGTGTCCGTGTAAAGTGTTGATTAAAAGTGTAAGTTAAAAATTATTCTAAGTTGAGTAACAACTTCGTTACTTATCTAAAACCTTTTCTACCATTTTCATATTCACAATGCATTGAAACTGATTCTTCTCTAGTGGTTTTAAAGTTAAGTTTAAAAATTCCTTTACAATTAAAATTTTTTTTACACATCATTGAATTAGGCATATTTAAACCTTAGAAGCAGTCTGGTCACTTAGACAATGAGAAAATTAACTTTTTTGAAAGATCTTATTATGTTGGAAAATGAGTAGTGTGGCTGGCTGTGATATTTAAGTAAAAAATTTATGAGGTCACTTTTACAACTACTTTTCCAATATAGTCTACTAAAATGCAAAAAATACGAGCAAGAATAGCCTAAGCTGAATATGTGTGTTAATATTAAATAGATCTATAATTAATGATTTGCTTTCCATCAAGAATTCATAACTGGTTCAGTATTTTACATGGATAAGAATGAAGAAGCAGCTTTATGGAAAAATTAAACTAGCCTATAAAGTACATCAGTTCATAACAGTGTAACAAAGTGTTAGGAGTGGAATTTTATTGTCAGTGCCATGTCATGTTTTTCGTACACGTAAAAGTACTTGTGAAATAATAGTTGTCAGATACTACATAATGGTACACTGTTGAAAAAATTTAAACCTGTTGTAAAAATAAAATTACAGTATGGGAAATGAAGTGTATTGAACTCGTGATATTTTAGAAAACCATTCCATAGTGGACTGAATACTCTAATTTTCAACTGTTTCACCCCCAGTTTGGTGTAATCTGTTTTCAGCAGTGGATTGTTCAGTGTTATTTATTTGTTTAATACATGAAAGTAAGCTTTGATCAGTAAATTAAATTGGAGAAAAAAAAATCGGAGTACTGGCATGACATAATTAATATATAGATATAAATAACTAAATTTTATTTTTCTAGAACAACAGCTTCAAAAATTGGAAGAAAAAGAAAAGGTTGAACAGCGTCATCTTGAATGGTTACAGAGAGATGAGGTTATTTGTCCAGTATGTCAAAGGTATCAAACATAAAACAGTTTACAGTGGCTAAATTTTATACAACATAGTTTCACTGGAATGGTGATGTTGGCCATTAAGTTTTTAAAACAAAGTTAAGTTTTTCCAGAGAGAATCAATCTCTTTAATTATTGGTTCTATATGTATTAAATAAAACTTGATTTAACCAACTTTACATGGGGCTCGGGCCAAACATGTATTGAAAAAATAATGTTAACTGTAATTCTGAATTGGTATTTGTACCCGAGTTATGTCTGTTAATTGACAATGTCAGTCTGACTCTGACAAGTTGGAGTGCAAGGTGATGTTCATATGAGGAATAAGAATACTTTTGGTCCATCATACAGTTTGTATTTGCATAACTTCTAGAACCTCCAAAATGCATATCCACGATTTTTTTTTTTTAAAGTATCCTTTTAACATGTATCTAGCATTTATATAATTGATACTTGAAACAGTTGGTACTTTGTAAAACTCCATAATTACAGAATTGAGGAAAACAAGACAATTGTACGTTTCACAAATACATCATTTACTCACAACCATGGTGATGTATTTGTGAAACTTACAGTTGTCTTGTTTATTTCCCAACTCTATAATCCGGCATTTACTCTCTACTACCGTGAACTGTCACTAAATCAGTAATGTAAGGTTAAAATGAATAGTTGATAATTTTGACATCAAATACATAATACCACATTGAATGGCATGCTGTGGTTTGCAAACAATGAATAAAATAGGTATAAAATGCAAATATTATGGGATTGCTTCCCCATTTTTACATAAAAATTAACTGCACATAAATAGCTTATACTTTGATTGGTTGTCATCCAACCAATCAAACAGTGCCACACCAGTATAATGCCTATAAAAGTACAGGCAGTCATATTATTTTCAACAGTAGTGTGGTGAATGCACTTATGGCTCCCAGGACAGAAATGCCACGTTGCAAATGTATAGAAATAAAAATTTTAAAGGTGATGGCTACTTCACATGACTGATCGAGATATATTTCATGTTTCAGTAGGAGCTGTATGGAAACTCAGAAGAGAGTACGTAAAACTAGTACTATTCAAAATATTGAAAATGAACATACATCTTTAAATAGTTGCATAAGCATATAACTTTATTAAGAACAAGACAAAGCCTTAAAAAGACTACATGTTTCATTGACTTTGTACACCACCATCATCAGGACTAATAGTTAAAGCCAGACATTGGCTTAAATATATCTGCATCACCTCCCATTTACGTAATCTTGCATTACACCCTTAGCACCTGTAATATTTAGTTAGTTCCCTCTTAAACTCAACCAGATTCATGAATTTAGCATCTTTCCAATCTATAACATGAGATGTGCTTGCTATATGTTCTGCCAAAGCTGATCATTCACCTTGTATTTATCTACCACGTCCTTATGTTCTTTAATTCTGAATTTCATATTTCTACACTTTTGGTCAATATACACACTAACATAGGCACAAGGAATTTTGTAAATCCCACACTTATCAGATTGTTCTATTTTATCTTTTACACCCGTGAAATAATTGTTCAACTTACAATGTGGAGAGAAAGTTAAACTACAATCTATGTATTTTGTTATTATGTTACCTACCCTTGTTGACAAACCTTAAACATATGGAGAGCAAACCCTCATGTTATCAGCTTTAGAATTTCCTTTTAACTTTGTACACAACGACATTTTTAATTCATTGCTATGCTTCTTATACAATCTGCATAATCTCAGGATCGTAGCCTCTGCCCCAAGATACATGTTTCAAGAAAATTAACTCTGAACTTAAATCACAATTGTAAATGCAGATGTCTATGAAAGTAGGTAACATAATTAAAAAAGTAGATTGTAATGTAACTTTCTCTCCACTTTGTAAGTTAAATAATTATTTCACGGTGTAAAAGATAAAGTAGAACAAGTTGATAAATGTGGCATTTACAAAATCCCTTGCATTTGTGGTAGAGTTTAAACTGGCCAAACACGTAGAAACCTGAAATTCAGAGTGGTCTGAGAAAGTTAAAAGGCACCCAGACAACTTGCTTGAATTGTAAGGAGCAATACAGGACATTTTGAACAATATTTCATAATTATACATTGATAACCTCATGCTAGCATAAAATATGTTGAAGGAAAATACTAAGTGCTAGTGCATCGTATAACTTTTGCTTGCTTTTCTTTTGTATTTTTTGTAATAATTCATTATAAGTTTGTCATTTAATAGCATTTACTGATTGATTGTAACTCTTGTATGTATACTACTTATGAAATATAAGTCTTTCTTCTGATTTTTTGTTTTCAAAAAATGTCAAAATTTAATTATTTCACACGGTGAATCAAAGACTGAATCATCAAGTGAAATATTTAGTCATAAGAATAATAACTAGAGAATGGGATAATTTGAAAACTACTTGATAAACAATATAATGAACACTATTCATAAATGTTATGGAGTTCCCTTCTAGTTAAGCAGTAAGAACTCTTGAAAATAGAATGCAAAGAATTGTACCTGTTTTTATCTGGGAAAGTTAATTGATAATGTCAGTAATTATACATGACTTTATAGATGCGTTTTCAGAAAGTAATCCATTATTTTATTTCACCGTAACTTCTAGTACATCTCTATGATATTTAGTCTTTCATTTATTTATTTTTTATCATTTGTTAATGCTAATATTCACACTTGTAAACTATTGTTTTTAACCACTTTGAATAAATTACATGTTGTTTGCTAATGTTCAGATTTGTTTCTTATTAGAATTGGTTTTTGAGTTTGGTTACATTTAACAGATTTTAACCATTGTTATTTACAGGAATCCTCTTACTGAGTCTGCTTCTGTGATTTCTTGTCCATGTGGGCTACAAATTAGTTCTGAAGTAAGAATTTTAAATATATTCTTATATTAGAATATCAACATTTTGGGCCCGGCATGGCCAGGTGGTTAGGGCGCTCGACCCGCAATCTGCAGGTTCAAATCCCCGTCCCACCAAACATGCTTGCCCTTTCAGCCATGGAGGCATTATAATGTGACAGTCAATCCCACTATTCATTAGTAAAAGAGTAGCCCAAGAAATGGCAGTGGATGGTGATGACTAGCTACCTTCCCTCTAGTCTTTCACTGCTAAATTAGGGATGGCTAATGCAGATAGCCCTCATGTAGCTTTGTGCGAAATTCAAAACAAACAAAACAACATTTTACCTATGGTAGCAAAATTGAATATTACATGCATATTTGGAGATACAAAAAACATAAAAGTATTGTTTTGGCATTGGAAATATTCCAAATCTCAGAAAAAATTAATAATTTTTTGTGATACTAGGATATTATCATCAGGAATATATATAATTAAACCAAGCTTCAAGAGTTTAAATTAAACTTTAAATTAGAAAGTAATCCATTTGAATATTGTCATTAGTTACTGGATAAAAATAATATATGATCATGGAATTCTTGGTTCCATTTTGAATGGTAGTTTCTATTGTAAAATGTAATTTTCTTCAAAAAAGATTTGTGTCTAATAATATCAAAAACTACTATTTGTTGCACTAAAAACTTTTCAGATTATGGTTTATTTGGATTTGATAAATATTGGTATCTCCTTTCCATATCTAGTATGACCATCTACCCTTACAAAGGTTTCAAGAACAGCTCAATATTGGTCTTACCCAGCATGCTAACAACTGTACTATGAATCCAAATTTTAGTCTTACTTCTATGTGTGGTATAACGAACCTGTTTCTTCTCTGTGAGGTAAGCATTTTTTGGAAGTTTTTTTAAATGTCACATTTACCAAGGTACTGTATTAATTCATACTGGTGTTATTGAGCAACAAATTTTGCTGTGGTATTTTTTATGGAATGTTGAGACAACATTTAAAAATGTAAAATAAAGTATTAAAGTATAGTAAACAATATAATTGTATAAAATGTTAACTCACCTTTGTTTTGAAAAATGACTAAACTTATTTTTCTAACCTAAAATAGTTAATAACTGTAGACGTCATTTATAAGTGGCATTCACAAAGGAGTAACTAAAATGTTGGCTTGCTCAGAGAGTTCTGTAGTAATGATGTAATAACAATCTTAATCCACAGGGCATTCAGTATTAGTTTGTCATCAAACTAGACTAGACAATTTAAGGAAATAGTCCACAGTGGGTCAGTGATAAGTTTATGGATTTATGACATTACAATCCAGGTTTGATTTCCCCACAGTGTACAGGGTTCATATAGCCCATTGTGTAGCTTTGAATAAAACAATTGATCCAATAATTATAAAGGTTTATAATGACACTACCACAAATTCCTTAACATCACTCAATTACTCATTGGTGTATAATAAGAGTTACAGTAGTGATCCATAACTGGTACTTAAGTAAAACATCATGTCCTTTTGTCCAAACAGCTTAAATAACCCCCACCTGTAATTTTCAGAATTTTATCTATCACTGAATTTCAGTGGTAGCAGGAAAAATAACTATCACTTCAACATAAACATGATGAGCTTTTAATGGAGTGATTGAATGGAATTCATTGTAACCTAGTGTATGTTTATATGAGACTTTAGTAAGACAAGGTTTATCTCTTGTATACACTTGCTTGTTGTTAATTTATGAACTTGACTTTTTCGAGCAGTTGTATTTATAAATGTTTTAAAATGTAAATATTATTTAAGAAAGAGCTTTAAAATTAAGTTTACGGGCTTATTATTATATTTCGAGAATAAAATCTGTACTTGGTGGTGGAGCTGGATCATGTTTTTTTTATTTGTATTCTAACACAAACTGGACTATACTTTCAGAACAATCTGTGAACCAGTTTCATTTACCTTCCTTCTTTGTAACCATTCACGTTGTCTTGCCTGCAGATTAACAAACACTACAGACTCCTTGTCCATGTGTTAAAAATCTGCAGTTTTGTTAATTACTTAAAAAGTTGTCTTTAACTCATAGTTCTGAAATTAGTTTTGAAAGATGTAAGAGTGGATTACTATTGATTTGAATTAAAAATCTTTAAAACCTATATAGATTAGCTAATTCGTCACTGATGGCCAAAAAAATACAAGTTTGGGGAATATCCGAAATAGAAGATTTCAGTATAAAACCTATTAGTAGTCATAGTTAACGCAGAGTGTTGGTACCGTATAAGGCGATCTCGTTTTCAGAAGCCATGGGAAAGAAAAATTGAGTGTCGTAACGTCCTTTTTTTAGGTCTGCAAAATCAATACTGTAACTGAACAGCCTGCAGTTGGATTAGTTGCAAGAATTAGTGATGACCTTGAGGGAACATCTGGTGCGCATTTATAGATGGATGCTATCTGGACATTCAAGGATGCAACAGGCTAGAGTAGGGGGAAGGGGCCTGTGATCAGTCGCAATTATAAGGCGACTATGAATTGTACAGTCTAATTATCAATCAAAAACATCGCCTTATAATCAGACCAATACGATATTATCTGTTAGCATGTTTAGTTAATATGTTAAATCATTAGTTTCTTTTAGGAGTTAATTCGTTGACTAATAATGACAAACTTCTTTTGCAGGCTTGCGATTTCATATTCATAGTGGTGTGAAACAACAAACTCGTTGAGGAAAATGAAAGTATCTTTCTCTAAATTAAGCTTATTTTAATTTGAAGACAAGTTACCTGATTACTAAGAAAAATTATGGGTTGTCTAAAATCAATGTATAAATACTGTAAATTTCATAATAAAGTTTTGTTCTGTAAAATTGGAATTGTTCCTTTATTGATAAATGTGTCAACTCTGACAATGATGCATGTAATCGTGATGTTGGAAAAAAGAAAAATGTGCAGGTTCAAGAAGTTTTAATATAAAATGATAAAAATCCTATAACATTAATGATACTGTAAACTAACATTACTTTTTCATCTTCTACATCATTTTATTACCTCACAGGTACACTGGTTCACATAGGCTCTGGAGTAATAGCTGTTTTTAAGTCATGGTCCTGAGATTACAATTTATGAAATAATAAAGTTAAAGAATAAAAGTGGGTACCAGATTTGAGGTTTATATTTGATTTTGGCCATTGTGAATCTTGTGGCTACTTCAGTTTCTATAGGTGAACATATTTCATGAACAAAAAATGCAGGATTTCAAATACATATAAATTTCAGTCTAGGTCCTGGAGTATTCTTTTGTGAACAGTAACTTTATATTTTATTGTCTTACTGTTTTCAAAGACATTTCTACCTTGTACACACACCCCTCTTTAAAATATTAATCCTTTTACTACACTTTTGTTTATGAAAATGATTTTAAATATTGCTCCAGTTTCTTAAGCAAAATACAATGGACAAGTATCACATTTCTGACAGCATATTAAAAGGCTATTTAATAAAACAGTAGCTGGTGTCACTTTCAAGCAATGATGTAGATAACTGAAAAATTTGTATTTTCAAATCAGTACATATTATTCTTATCAATTTCAAAATCTACATAAACATTTATCGTTTGTTGTAATATGTATAGCTGCTAATGTAAAAGTAATAATTGTAATTAATATTACATGTTTTTTTTTATAGAATATTATCAATATTTAATTTCTGTAAGCTGAATATGCTGTGTGTTTTTGTCGTTTGAATTTGCTAAGTTTTCTTCACTTTTTCACGTTTAAATAAAAAGTAGAGGGGCATAAAAGCTTGTAACAGGAACTTTATTGAAAACAATGCACTGTTATTACATGCATTCTATATCTTGGTTGTTGCCATCAAAAACTTTTAATGAAATAGATAATCACTTTGAATGACAAGGACATGCATTTTACCTAGCTAGTTCATGATATTACTAGATATCTCTCAAGTATTTGTTATACAAACCAAACTAATTTTTATTTGCATAGATATTAAACAATTTGTACTTGTATTAATAAAATGTGGCCTTTTCATTTAGTCACAATTTAAAGAATAATAATAAAAGATGTAGAACATATATTACACTTTTAGTCTGGGTTGTTAAAAAAAAACAGTACAATTCTTCAGAATTACAGCATTATCTAGTACTAAAATATACTTGTGGATATGTCACAATGAAATTGTGCTCATAAGTTATAAAACTTTTGTAAGGTATAAAATGTCAGTAATTTATCTTAAGTAAAAACAACTGATAGATAAAAAAACTTCATGAAAATAACATTCCAAATAAGGACACTTGAACAGTTTTTAGAAGTAAAATTGATTTTATAGCTGCACATTTATCACACCCACGCACACACACACTGATCTGAAAAAACATACAACTGTTTGCTTGTAATAAAATAGAGAAAAAATTAACCTCATGAAACTCGTTCTATTCAAAAGTTCAGTCTTCTGTAACAGTTGAAGCCTTCTCTATTAATGTTTCCCACTTCTTATGAATTCTAATCAAAATTATTGTCGATGTTGAAAACGTTCTTGTTTTCCAAGGAGTTGAGTGCTTTTTTAACTTGGGATTTATGAAAATATGCTATTGGTCCTTTTCTTTACAATTTCTTTATAGAATAACATTCAAAATTTACTCCTAAAAAATTACAAATTTTGAACAGACATCTGTTCTTTAGTATTATCAGTTTCTGTGCTTTAAAATCATTTAGTTTGTCTACCATGTTAACATACATAGTCACTAAAGTGTATGCACTTTATTGCTTTAGAATAAACAGAATAATTTAATTTGTTGGTTTCGTTTCTTCTTGTGCACAATCCAAACATTACAAGATTAACTTAGTTACTATTTCAAAAATACTGTTAACAGTGAGGGTGCCTAACTGATGACAAAATGCATTCTAATCTTTAAAGTAAAAATGTATTGATAATTAGCTATACTCATTACTGGGTTAATTTTTGATTTGATCTAAATAAGTAGCTTGCTTTGATTAGAAGTAAATATTAATAACTTTAAAGAAAACAATAAATTCATTGCAAATTTTTTGTTACATTCTATATTTAAAAAAAAAAATCTGTTTAGTTGTTATGGGTATGAAAACAATTTTTCAAATCAATAAAACACTACTTTTAGACAAATAAAAATATTTTTTTTCTACCAAGATCAAATGAATCATTTAAAAAATATTCCTATGATTCTGATACATTATGACAGGATTAAGCTCATTGTGGTAAAATCATATCTTTTTCTTATCTCAAAGGCAGTTTGTTCTTACTTAATGAAAAGAACTTTAAGAGAACAGACTTTGATCTAAAATATTTCTTGCGAGTTTCAGGGATGCTAATTATACCTATATGTATATGCTTAAATTCATAACTTTTTGTTACACCGATCTGTGTATTTAGCTGTGATGGATATAAAAATAGCAATTTAAATCAATAAAACACTATCTTTAGACAAATAAAATAAACAATATGATTTTTCTCTACCATGATCAAATAAGAACATTCCTATGATTCTGATATGCTAGTTAGGATTAAGCTAATTTGTGTAAAATCTTGTTTGTCATCTCCAAGGCAATTTGTTCTCACTCAATGAAGTGACCTTTAAAGAACAGATGTTGAGCCAAAACATTTCTTGCAAGTTCCAGCAATGCTAACTATACGTACAGGTACACACTTTTTGCCGAGAGATAATTTTTTTTATAATATTATATATAATCTTATATAGCAGTGTTTATGTTAAAAAGAAGGTTTACATGTTTATTTTCATCAATTACCCAGCTTTTGTGCTTGATATTTTTTCTTTAATTCCAGATGAAAATGTAATGTCTTAAGTAGAGCTGTATTCACTACTAGTAAATGAAACAAAATAAAGAAAATGTGATGCTTTAAAAACGTGTACATAAATTTCATGCAACACAGCATTTTAAATCATGAAAAAAAAAGTCAATATGTTTTCATTCAATACACAGTTATTCAGAAGGCAGGGAATATCAATAAAGTAATGTTGTTTTAGTTGAAGATTACAAACTGTATCTTGTTCAGTCTGGAAAATAAGTACATTTTGGCTAACATAGTGCAAATGAAAAAAAAATCAGATTAGAAAACACATTATTCTTGAATAAAACATCCATCTGCTATACGTTACTGAATTGTTTGGGTAATATTCTAAGATTTTCAGATGATACTACTTAAAGCTTAAATGTTTTCACCTTCAAAACCCTTCTCTTCCATCACTGTCAGTTACTTCGACGTCTGTCATGGGCAGCCCTCCTCTGGCTCAGAAATCCATATCAGGTTATAGCTTCTTAACTACACAGGTAGAATACAATGCAAGGGTCAGGAAAGTTCCTCTTATTAGCAAAGCAGACCATTTACATAAAGTTCCTTGGATAAAAATAAAAGAGAAAGTTCACGTTTATGTACTTTATTCATGTTCTGTAGCTACATTTTCATGCACAATTAAGATTTCCTTAGGCAATGCTAAAGAATCTTCCTCACTCAAATGAGGACATGTCATAATCTCAACCTTTTCTGGACAAACTTCTTTAGTATGTTCCTCAAGAGAACCTTTCTCTTGACTGGAAGAAGGCAACATATCTAGCCGGTTTTTCTCCATTAACTCAGTATCTTCTTTTGGCAGCTTTCCTTCTTTGGGTGTCTTCTTGATTACAGAATCCGTTTTAATGGTATTCTTTTTCTTTGAAATTTTACTTTGAGAACTGGGCTTCAGAGGTACACTAGATACTGAGGAGCGAGACACGTTAATCCTCTTGGCAGTTGTTGAACTAGAAGCAGTTCTGGGCTTTTCCTCCTTATTAGCTGTTGAAGACTGGTGTTTCTTAGGACCATCTGTGGAAATCTCTTTGTTTATTGATTCTTTGCTCTGCTTATTTGCACCTGATGCACACCGAGGAGTAGCTACTGCTGGCCTAGTTTTTTTAACTCCCACAACTGCCTGTTGTGTTGTGGTTGTTTCAGTCACTGATGTATTCTTAGCAACTTCAGGTTTTTTTGTTGTGGAGCTAGGTGGTCTTGGAGTGCCTCTTGATTGGGGCACTGAAGTGCTAGATCTTCCAGGAGTTGGTTGGGTTTTTGAAGATGGCCTTATGGCAGATTGTGCTGGATGCTTTGGAAGAGATCTGAGTTTCTAAGAGTGCTAGATTTAGCCACTGGAGGTTTTTTGGCTGCTGCTTCTGACTTAATTTGCATTGTATGAGAAAGAGTTGCTGATTTCTGGCCCACTGTTCTTGATGTACCAGAAAGTCCTTTTGGTGTTTTGCTGGAAGAAGAAATAACTGTTGTTGGATCACTGCATTTTTGTGGTATGGTAGGTGTGGAGAGTGGTATTGGTGTGGGTTTTGCTTTGACCAACTTCTGTCTTTCTGTAGTACTCCCAGTACTGACTGGTTTTGAAACAAGTCTAGAAGAGGGAGTAGATGGAACAGTCTTCATGGCAGAAGATGCAGGAGTAACTGTACCAGTTACTGCTGGTTTCTTCAGAACTGGAGTACGAGTTAGTCTAGAAGTAATATTGGTTTCTTGTCTGGTCTTATTTTCTTTAAATGATTGTTGTCTTGAAGTAGTGCTTGTTTTTGTCATCGCTTTTCCTCTATCTTGTTTGACATTTATTTTCTCTGATTTTGGTGCAGAAAAAGGCTGTTTTGGTTTAGCATTGATTTCTTGGGATAATTTGTTAGCTTTTATCCCAGATTTGTTTGTGGTCTTTGATGAAGTAAGTGACTTAGGTGGGGCAGCCTTTTGTACGTCTTTCATTTTAGATGATGAAACTTGCTCCAAGTTCTTTTTACCTGTAACATACTTCCACCCTCCATCTTTTTCAGAGTCAACATCCTCTACAATCCCCTTAGTTCCTGACAAAGCATCTGGAATGACTCTGAGCTCAACTTTTGTCTTATCTGTTAGAACTTCTTTAGGTAATTCTGTTACTTCATCTGCTTCTTTAGTTGCAAGCAATGAAGGTTTCTCTACAAAACCTAGTTGAGAAGAGCTAATCAGTGTTTTAGCAGCCAGAACATTCTGATGTTCTTCAAGGTCAGACATTACAATCTGTTGTACTGCTGGCACGTCTTCTCTTTTAAGGTCAACAAGTTCAAGTGATGAAGGTTTCTCAATTATTCCATTTGTTATTATGACTTGAGGTTCTGTTTGAATAGGGCAAACTTGGTTATCACTAGAAACTGCTAAATGACTGGGTTCTTTAAAAGATACAGTTAGTGTGTCCTGTGGCTTTAAATGCTGAGCTTCAGAACTGTTTGAAACATAAGGTGTTAAGTCATGTTTAACTTGCACTATTTCCGAATGTATTGGTAATAATTGATGTGGTTCTACTTTTGAAGGAAGTATATGTTCATCTATTCCATGTAATGAATGTTCAGTTTCAAATTCTGAGGCAATTAATGATTGTGCTGGTTTTTCCGGTGAAGTAATTGCTGGCAGCTCAATTTCAAACTGTGAAACAGGTACTGGTTGTGTTGGTTCCTTCTCAGGAATGAGTATTGGTTGTGTTGTCTCTTTCTCAGGTTGTAGTATGGGTAATAGTTGTATTGATACATCCTGTGGAGTGAGCATTGTTTGTTCAGTCTCAGGTTGTAGGATGGGCACTGGTTGTGTTGAGACATCTTGTGGAGTGAGTATTTGTTGTTCAGTTTCAAGTTGTGCAGTAGGTACTGGTTGTGTTGATACATCTTGAGGAGTGAGTAAAGATTGTTCAGTTTCAAGTTGTGACGATGGTTCTAGTTGTGTTTCTACATCCTGTGAAGTGAATAAAGGTTGTTCAGTTTCAGGTTGTGCAGCGAGTACTGGTTGTGTTTCAACATCCTGTTGAGTGAGTAAAGATTGTTCAATTTCAAGTTGTGATGTTGGTTCTAGTTGTGTTTCTACATCCTGTGGAGTGAGTAACGGTTGTTCAGTTTCAAGTTGTGACGTTGGTACTGGTTGTGTTTCAACATCCTGTGGAGTGAGTAAAGATTGTTCAATTTCAAGTTGTGATGTTGGTACTAATTGTGTTTCTACATCCTGTGAAGTGAATAAAGGTTGTTCAGTTTCAGGTTGTGATGTTGGTACTGGTTGTGTTTCAACATCCTGTGGAGTGAGTAAAGGTTGTTCAGTTTCAAGTTGTGATGTTGGTACTGGTTGTATTTCTACATCTTGAGGAGCAAGTTGTGTAGTAGGAAATGGTTGTGTTTCAACATCCTGTGGAGTGAGTAAAGATTGTTCAATTTCAAGTTGTGATGTTGGTACTAGTTGTGTTTCTATATCCTGTGAAGTGAATAAAGGTTGTTCAGTTTCAGGTTGTGCAGTGAGTACTGGTTGTCTTTTGACATCCTGTGGAGTGAGTAACGGTTGTTCAGTTTCAAGTTGTGACGTTGGTACTGGTTGTGTTTCTACATCTTGAGGAGCAAGTTGTGCAGTAAGAAATGGTTGTGTTTCAACATCCTGTGGAGTGAGTAAAGGTTGTTCAGTTTGAAGTTGTGATGTTGGTACTGGTTGTGTTTCAACATCCTGTGGA